GCCCAACAACGTGAATTTTGATGTCATTTATTTGTGTCTAATCTTGCGTTCACATGTGTAGACTCTAAACAACCATAAAATTTTAAGAATAATCATAAGCTCACAAGCACGACTACAATTTTATTCATGTAGAAGAGGACAAACATAAAATAATATTATATCACAATTATCTATCACTGAAATAGTTACTTTTCTAATACTTTCTTTAATATACTTGCAAAATCAAACCCCAAGTGTATGTCTCATTGGCTCATTAGTTCCTATCCACCATCCTATGATACATTATCAACAAGATGTATTTCTACCACTGTTCGTACTTTGCACCATGGACTCATAAATCACATAGCGGTATTGCAAATATTGTCCATTGCCAAAAAATATGTCTCTGCTTTGTATTTTTCAAATAGTTGTTTGCCTTATTCCAAAAAGAGAATAAGAGATTAAACATTTTGAAATAGAAAGCATTAAACGGATAAAAATTCAAAGGGACATTTTAAAAATACTATGGTAGAAAGAGAACATTTGTGTGTGTGTGAGAGAGAGACAGAAAGCAAGACAACTTATTAACTCAAATCAAGGAGCAGTGAATTTTTTTTTGCTTATGAGTACTATGCCCAATAGTCAAGTTATACGCCTTTAGAGGGGACTCAAGGAGGGCACAAAGTCTATAAAGACCAAAAATCATCACTACAATCTAAGGATACATCAAAAATTTGATTCTTTCTCAAACCAATATAGGATCCTTTCATCATTTAAGAATAAACCAATTACCAATTTCTGTTTTTTTTTTCTTTGATAAGCCAATGCTAACAAGCAACAACTATACAGAGATGCCGGAAATTAATGCAAACAATGTCCAAAAATAATTGATCACACATTGAGTTCCTTTTAGTATCACATGTTGCAACCAAATTGACACAAAACAGTTGATGAAAACAAGCATGTGCAGGAATCAATTAAATAAGAGACAATCATTACCATTCCCTCAGTGGCTAAAGTGACAATTTGATAATGGTCAATCTAAGATGTCTGAAATAAATTAAAACAAGTTATGTAAGCAAACCATACAATATTGAATTGCTTGGTGTTAAAGAATGTTGCAGATAATCAGAACAAACCATGATTTTCTGGAGTAGCAGATGAATATGATGTCGATTCCTCACTCGTGCTTTTATCAACATTACAAATCATACCAAGTGATTCATCCTGCACATATTCCACTGTTGAAATGACAGTTTTAAGAAAGTCTATCAGAATCATAAAGGTACTGACAAAATCATGAATTGTCATTATACATTGGAAAAAGATCCAGATATAATTTCTTGAAAAGTTATTCCACAATATGAACTACCTTCCAAGAAACATCCACATATGCGATTGTTAGGCTCTTTATCAAGATATCTCATTTTGTTTGTTGAAGTAATTTTGACAAGCTACCCAGCCTAAGCGATCTTTGTTCATTGCAACTTTCTGCATCCAGACTTGAGAGAGCACGGTTACCACTGAAATCACTAGCAACTGCTTCAATGCTTACATAGTTCATCATCGGTCTCTTTCGAGATTATATCGGTTCCAAGCACACCTTAAATGACTATTGACAAATAAAAATGTGAAATCGAAATTAATTCACAAATACAAAGGGGTGATCTTCCACTTTCTTCTTTCTCTTTAGGCAGAACCAACCAGTAAGATATCACTTATTTAATACACCAAGAAACCTGCTTAATTAGACACAAATTAGGTATGTAGACCAACAAAACCTCAAGTTTTCCATAATGGGGTGTGCTAGTTAGGCTACAGACAATCATGATTTACGAATTAATCTAACTACTAATCAATTGCCTAATGACCGATAACCCATAAACAAATAGAGGCGGCACTAATGAATAAATGGATAACAACTACAACGAATATGCTAGAAAAACTACCAAATACGCCCATCAATTCATTTGACCATGAGTAACAAAATTCTGGAACAACAACTAAATAAAACTTAATTTGTTTTCTTTAAAGTAAAGTACATAAAATTCAATTTTTATCCTAACATACTTTGTAATCCACTTCTCACAAAGAGGAAAACCTATATTTTCCACTTCTTTGTTTGCTTAGGTATAAGAAACACACCAGTCAGTCTTTAAACAACCGACTTTAGTCATCAATCTCATTTTCCCAAGTTTGAGAAAATTTCATGTAGTTAATACTTATTAGACTTGCATCTAACCTTTCTTGCAAATTAGAAGTGTGCAATAACACTAAAAGCATAAACAAGCTCAACTTAGAACAGAAGTTGTGTCTACTTTTGTTTTTTGTTTTTTGTTTTTTTGGAAAAAAGTAATAAATCCAACAGTAAAAGAAGCAAAATAACACACCCATTTACAAGAAGTATATCAAATGTAGACAACCTTACAAACGATATATTTTTTATGAATAAATCCAATCTTCTATACATATATAAGAACCTAGTGAGTGCACAAAAAATAAATAAGGGATGAGGAACTATTCTTCAAGTGTGCAAAATTCTTCTCTACTTCATCAAAAACTTTGTCAGCAACAATCTTATGTTTTGCATTGTTTCCCCATCTTCTAAAAATCAAGCTAAACATTGTTTCTTTCACACTACTTGACATCACCAACCCTTCACCATAGATTCCAATATTTCCCTTTCTGAAACCAAATTAAGTATAAAGGTGTAAAGTATAGAGATGGTACTTACTGGAATAATTGCATATGCTATCCAGAGTCTGTAATGCTCTTGAGCTGTGATCTTGAGTTGTGATCCTCAATTTCTCAGCTGCCTATTCAATTAAAATTTTCGTATGATAAACCATTTTTTTCATAAACTTGAGCAACTATTTCTCATATACCTTTGGAATTGCTTGTGAAGACTTTCATAATATTGCAGCACAAGCTTCAGGGCTGGTCAAAGAAGCATAGATATTGTTGATATATAGAAAAGATCAAGATATTCAAGGAAACAATGCAAGAAGTGTTAAAACAACAACTACAAAATTCATGCCTCAACATATGTACAATGTGTCCGCATCTTTAAGCTAACACAACATGTTTTGGGTTTATATAGTAAGTTGAGAGTTCATATATTACTTATATCTCCACATGCACAAAAATTATATTTGAACTTGAACTTTTTATTCTTCAGACTGTCACATGCCTAATAAGTATCAAATAAATTTATGGAAGAAGTACAAATGAACTAGACTTACCTAGAGCCATAAAATGCTGAGTTTTCCAACATTAACCACTTGTTTGCACATCCAATGGCAAGTGTTTTGCCTGAACCACCTTCATTAGTTACAATTGTTATGATTGGAACTCTCAGCTCAAACATTGCCCTTAAATTGAGGGTTATTGGCTCACCCTACATGAAAATATTGGAGGTGATTATGGATTCTACATGACCAAATGTAATCTAATAACGCAATATTTGAAAGTCAAGGTAAAGACTCACATCTGATCTATCTCTTTAGATCTTAAATCAACAAAAATCACTAGAGTGGTCAACAAATGTAACAATAGGAAAGACACGATGATCAACATATCTCATCATTCTCAAAGCCTTTCTTTAGCTGCAAGGCTAAGATTTAGTAGTTATCAATTCATCTTTTTACAAAAACTAACCTTGAGGTATCAAATTAAACAATATTCTTTTCAAACAACTGAACGCTACATAGACTCTCCAAAAATCTGATAACCTGAGCAAAAATCAAATTAGGAACATGTTGAGAGGTTATGAGCAACAACTTCAGCCTAACTTGTTGCTAAATTAATGAAAAAATCAGTTCAATTTAACATCTTATTAACCACAAAACAGATTACTTGGAATGCTTAATGATAGGAATTCGTAAAATAATGCTATGAATGAGAATTTGTGAAGCATACCTATAAGGGGTTGTCATTGCAAAGTTGATTACCAATTAAGAGATAACTTCTACCTTCAATGCTCCCAATATCACTCACTATGGCTGTATCATCATAGCCAGCACGATCTCCATGGAGCTCTACCCACTTCATGCATAACATAGGATTAAGATTCCTTGAGTTGCATTGTCAAAAAAACTACTAATAACTCTAATGAACAGAAGAAAAAAAAATCAACAGGCATTTCTTCTCCATCATATTTAGTATATGATCTTGAACAGTTGGTCACAATATGCCATATGTATCAAATGGAACAGAGAAGTGTTGGTCAAATAATCATTTTGCATATGTATCACCATAATAAGCTAATTTCCTTTACATAATAAACAATACTATAAGTAAGCAGACAGATTATCATAAGTTGGTAATACACAAGGAAAACAAACTTTAAATTTACCTCTTTAGAACCAGAGTAGTTCAAAACTAACATAAAGTATGATAAACATACATACATATACAACCAACTACTTATTGTAAGAGTCATGTGAATTTTTATATTCAAAATACGAATTTGTACTTAAATATTAGTTACTTCAATATTTTTCATCTCAAACAAGATGTTAAAAAACTGAATCATTAAAATAAGAAATGAAATTAAGAACATGAGCAAATGAAATAAAATAACAGAGGATTAGCAAAGAGATCAACGCATGCAATGTTAACATGAGAGGTGGTACCATTCACTAATGAGGGTATGAGATAATACCAAGTTATGGTACAATTCAAAATATTCAAGGGATTTAAAAGGAGTGCACGAAATCCAAATTTTATTTGAAAGTGTAAGCGAAGTATGATTTTTTCTAGCTTAGACATTTTTTCAAACACCTAATGTACGTCGGAAATCTTTCAACATAAAAACTACATATGGATACTCCATTAAATCTTGCTACAAGTGAAAAATATATAAAATTAGAAGAATGATCATACCAATTAAGTGTCTAGCAATTTACATGTTGGAACAAGTGGTTGTTCCCTTAGACCTTAGTCTCTTGGTGTGGACTCGTAGGTCAATGAAGCAATTGACTGCTAACTTGGATGTTGTGCTCGTCTTAGTGAGGAACATACACATAGAGCAGGTTCAATTTCAATATATTGCTGGTTGAGCATCCTCTGAAGAAATAGAAATATCTGTAAACTACAACATTAAAACGAAGAATTAACAAAATGAAGTAGAGATTAATCCAAAAAAAGTATCTTATGCTCTTTAACTTTCCAGCTTTGCCTATTTTTGTGGAATTGTTTTCATTAGAATGTCATTGTTGCAAAAAAAAAAAAAATCATCACTTTGGTTAGCAACCAAATCCAAACTCACAACACAACTACTTTCAAACGAATTGTAAACTCCATCACACCCTTTCTTTGAGCTCTAGATCCATTAACCAAATTCCCCAAATAACAACAAATTAGCAAAAGGATGCACTATAATTTTGATTTTTCATGAAAAATAAAAATAAAGAATTGGGCAAAAAAATAAAAATTGAACAGACCTAACGTGTAACCCGCTGTGAAGATGAAGAGAATCAAATAGTCCTTCAGTGTGAAGAGCAAGAGACCATTTTTGAAGGTGTTGAGTTAGGTTGAAAGAAAAATAGAGATAAAGAGTCTTATGGATGTTTCTGGACATATCTCGTTGTCTAGGTTGCGGAAGGGATTTTTTTCTAGCTTGGTAATTGAAATATCATCAAGTGAAATGAAATTAATATAAGTTCTTGATCGTTCTTGGCTTCTTGTTGATGCTTGAATCCATGATTGGAGTTGGGGTTTGGAGAGATTGGTGAGGAAGAAGAGAAAAAGTGAGACGAAGAGAACATTATGGAATGGGAAAGAAACAAGAGTTCGTCGTTTGCTCTAATTCATTTTACCATTGAATAATGGGTATATTTACAGGTTTGCCCTTGGTCGTCCTAGGCTTCATATTTCTATATAATAGAAATATTTATATATATATATGAAAAAATCACATGCACAATAAATTTGAAAAAAAATATTTATGTAAAAATTATGGAAAAATTACCCAAATACATATCTTATTTTACCATATCTCTTAAATTCTCTACCATTTAAAAAATTCCAAAAATCCCCTCGGGATACATCACTTCCCTCTCTTGGTACATCTCTATCCCACTGGGATACATCCCTCCCCTCTCGGATACATCCATCCCCTCTCAAATACAGTCCAATATGTATCCGAATCCTATCCCCTTTCTAATGCATTCCTCCCCTCTCGGTTACATCTCTCCCATATGTATCTGGATGTCCTATCCCCTCTCTGATACATCCCTCTCATCTCGGATACATCCCTCGCGTATGTATCCGGATGTCTACTGATGTATTCGGAAATTTAGTGATGTATCCGAAATTCATAAATTTTAAAAGACTTTTGTAATTTGAAAAAAAGTAGGGAAATAATGTAATTAGCTCGTAACACTATATATGAGATATATGTAAATTATACAAAAAATATAATATAGTTTTTTAACTTATATAATGTCGGGATCGATGTAATAATTAAGAAATGGAATGGTTTTTAGATAACTGTAGCATCATTTCTTATTTTATTTTAGTATTCCTTACTCTCTCTCTTTTTGTAATATAGTATTCCTTGGTAAAAGAAAGGAGTGATCTCTTCTTCATGTATATCTTAGTCTTTGGTAGCGTTGCTTCTATTTTTTTTTGGAAAAATTAGGTGGTTAAGCAAACTTATACTATTTAATTACTCATCATAGCTATAGTTTGCTATAATTACTACTTGCGATTAACATTAACTATTAATTACGTGGACTGACTTTGAGTTTGTATAAGTAGCACGTTTGTATATGTGTAATTCGCCACATTTGTATAAACAATTCTTTGTTTGATTTGTATTTATATACGATGGTTTGTATTTGTATATGATGATGATTTCCTTTGGATTTTCAGTTTTGTCATCATATATATTCAATTTTTTAGTGCATAACTTTTTAAAGTTTGTATAAGCGTGTAGTTTTCGGATTTTGTACAATATAATTTATATAATGTAGTTTGTATAATATATTTTGTATAAATTTTTCATATGTTTATGTTTGTATCAACTCGTTATTTTGAGTTTTATTATATTTGTATAATTCTAGACTTTATATTACTCAATTATACAAAAACATGTGAATTACACAAACGTACCTGCGAATTATACAAACGAGATGCGAATTATACAAATTATTGTCATCTCTCGCTCGCCTCTCTTCTCCCTCTCCCAATCTCGCTCACCTCTCTCCTCAGTCTCTCAATCCCGCTCGCCTCTCTCCTCCCTCTCCAATCTCTATCCATAATATACAAATACATATGTATAATATACAATTATCTAATTGATACATATGTCTAATTGATACATATACAGTTCATCTCTCTCCCCCTCTCTCGCTCGCCTCTCTCCTCCCTCTCCCAGTCTCGCTCACCACTCTCCTCCCTATAACATGTAGCTATGAATTGTAATTTGCAAAGTATAGCTATGGAGCGTAAATAGACTATTTTTGAGTAGCTATATGCGAAAGTTCCTCTTCTTTTCAAGTGTGGTAGTCAAATCCTTATGGATTACCTAAATGTTGACCCCAGGCCCAATTGTGATGATGGATATTTTGCAACTGTTTTCATCACAAACTGTATCGAATATAAATTTATTTGGTACAATTTGATACTTTTAAAAAAAAAATAAAAAATTCATAAAACATAAAAATCTAATCTAATTCTCAGTATTATCATAAAAATATATTGTCAAACCTATAATATTTTTATTTAAGAAATCTAAAATCAATTCGATTAAACTTGCTTCAGTCAATTCAATTGCTTTTGAGAATTATTTTCACACCCCTAATTTTTGTCATCATTCATTCCCTTATTAAAGTTGAAAAGACTTGAGAAATGGTCCAAGTTAGACAAGTGGTTGTAGTTAATATTCCATATATCTATATCACAAGGACTTTATAACGAAGTTTTTACTACGTAACTTGGAAGTGTCACTATTGAGCGATGCTAACAGGAATATCAAATAGAGGGGATGATTTCAATTTGAGATATGTTAAAATAGACAAATTAATAAACAAGTTGGTTAGTGTTGCGCCCAAAAGTTATTTGGTTATTCACAATCAATTTCTTTTTTTATAATTCTAAAGTTAAATACATATTCAAATATAATTTTGATTTCTAATTTTTCTAAACTTAATTTCAAATACTATTTTTCTTTCGATATCATGTCCAAATGACTACCTAAATTATGAGATGTTCCACCATTTTTGGATCTCTAATGAATAGTGTGTCCTAGGGATAATACAACTTATATGTAAAGAGAAAGATTATTATCCTCCATTTGCATTTTCAATTTCATAGTTTTTGGCCAAAAACATCTCTCAACTATATTCTATGTTTAAACCACATCCTTGCACTATCACAATGAACAAAAAACATCCCTCAATTATCTTAAAAATGGCAAGATTCATCCTTTAATTAGTTTTTGTCAAAAAAACTAACGATTGATCAACCTACAAATCCCCTATTTTGTTTGCTCCCATTCTTCTCTTAGCTTATAGTAGTAATAGACAATCCTAACTATATTGAATGAGCTAGGAAGAGAGGTTTGCATCCTCAACTTCATAGTAGCAGCCAGGATGTCCCATAAAAAGTGAGCAAAATATTTCAAGTAAAATATTTTTCTCTCTATATAATTACTGATCAGATAAGCAACGAAATATTATAAGAAAAAAATGTATAATTTTCTCTTTATTTCCTAGACAATGAGGGAATTTAAAGTATGAAGGTAGTTTATTTTTATTTTATTTTTGTTGATAAACACTAGTTACTGTATTTTAAAAATATAAAAGTAACATATTTAGATATTACATAAAAAAATATTTTTTATTCCAATTTATGTGACGTTTTTCGCTTCTTAAGATACAAACTATGTGAACTTTTTATAAATATTTTACTATGTATTTTTCATCATATTCACTTGAGAAGAATTACAACTTTAATATGTGAAAAACGCCACATATTTATCCATAGTTAATTCTAGCTTCAATTACATGAAAGGAAATGAATTTAACCGTTAGTTTCTATCGAGAAAAAAGATGAAAGGGTGAATCTGACCATTTTTAGGATAGTTAAGGGATGTTTTTTGCTCATTGTGATAGTAAAAGGATGTTGTTTAAATTTAGAGTATATTTGAGGGATGTTTTTAGCCAAAAACTCTTCAATTTCACCTCAATGTACCATTTGATTTATCACAGCAAGTGTCTTATTATTTTATTATGTATTAGATTGTTAAGGGATGTGGATCATGTGGTGAGTTCGATGAGATACCTTCACATTTAATTGAGGGACATTTTTAATAAATTTTATATTATGTAAATTTAAATTAGTTGAATTGGTAATTTTTGAATTTATATAATTAGATAAAAAAAATTTATCATGCACCATACTAGTTCAATTTTGTCAACTTACTAAACTATGATTGAACAACTGTAATCTAGAATCTACGTGCTATACACATTTATTATAGCTGGTATAGACAACGAATGTTCATGTGATTCATCATCAAGTATCATTTTGAAAATGTTTGAGTAATTTTCACAGAGACTAGAAATAACAATTGAGATAGGGTAGGATAGGATAAAACCTTAATAAGAGGGTGTTGTCTCCTGTATTCAGGTTAGAAAAAAAACAGATTGAACAATTGTAGTCTAGAATCTATGTGCTATACACATTTATTATAGCTTGTATAGACAACGAATGTCTTATGTGATTCATCATGACGTATCATTTTGAAAATGTTTTGAGTAATTTTCACTGCAGAGACTAAAAATAACAATTGAGATAGGATAGAATAGGATAAAACCTTAATAAGAGGGTGTTGTCTTTTGTATTCAGGTTAGGAAATTTATTTGGTACAATTTGTATAGTAAAATATGGGAGCCACTTTAATCTCCTTATAATTAAAAGTTGTATAAATTATAGGAACCACATATTATAAGTACTAAATAACATCTTATCCCTTCTAATTTTCTATTTACCAAAAATCCCTTTAAAATGATGTTTGCGGGATACATAGCATTGTGCACGGGATACATTAGGTTTGATACATTCCACATAGCGGGATACATAGCGTTGTGCACGGGATACATGCGGGATACATAGGTAAAATAAGGGATTTTTGAAATTTTTGAAATAAGTAGGGATAAATGGATATTAAGGTAAGTAAAGGAGTGTAGTTAAGTAATTTTGTCCAAGTTTAATATGTTGTTATTGGCTGGATGAGAACACCACTAAAATAAAATCTTGAAAAGAATACAAATTCTATTTTACTTACTTTTCTAACTTGTCTACTTCCCTCATTCTTGGGACACATGTAAGGCTAACTATTTTCTCTTTCCAACACTTTGATACCTTTTACTCCCTTACCCAAATTGATAAATATATAATTAAATCCGCTCTAAAAGAAATAGAGTAATATTTAAAAAAAAATACTAGTTATTTACTAGTAATATATCTTAAAATTGATTTCATATGATTTAGTATATATTATTATAAATATTATTTTTTGTTGAAACTTTTTAAGTTAGAGTTAAAGATTTAAGTTGATTATAGTTGTTTGAATGTACTTTTTCCAAAAAAAGTAAATATGATTAAATATGACTGTTTTCATGAAAAAAAATTACGATAAAATTTTAAAAAGAAAAATATAATGAAATTGAAAATAAAATTTTGAATGTTTTTCAAATTCCAAATACGGCTTAAATCATATCTGAAATTTTCTTGACTAAACATTGATTTTCAATTTTTTTTTTTTTAAAAATCATGATCAAACATACGAGGTGGTCCTGCTGTATTAATATTCGTACGAGGTGGT